GTGTGTGTGTGTGTGTGTGTGTGTGTGTGTGTGTACACATGCAGGGGAAGGGCAGATGTGGTGAGCATGTGGAGAGAAAAATCTCCCAAAGTCCTTTGCAGCGTGACTTCCAGCAGATAAGGAAGAGAGAAAAAAACACAACTTTGAAGTTGTATTTTTTTCTTCAGAGAGCAGAAGGAGGAGGAGAAGGATGAAGAGCAGGAGGAGGAGGAGGAGGAGGAGAGGTGGGTCGGGGTGGAAAACACTGCAAGTTAAAAATGATGAAGAGATGTAGACTCGAAACTAAACGAAGAATGTGATTGGCCGATGAGATAAATAGTAATACAATTCATTTGTTTACATATCTAGACAACAACATGGTAACAAGATTATCAGAAGAGACGCAGATCGAAACTGGACACGGTTTGTCAGTGTGTGTGTGTGTGTGTGTGTGTGTGTGTTTATACTCATTTTTGTTTTGTTTTGTTTGTGTTAGGTTGAGGTCAGGTATGAATTGGTCATGGTGCAGGTTGGGGCCAAGGTTGTCGTTACGCTGTGTCTGCATAAGGATATAGACAACAGTGACTCATAACAAGGCGACTTGTTCAAACACGCACACAAACACCAACATCCTTACTCTCTCCTGCCTGCATGAAACAAACACGTAGACGAACATAAAGCCATGTCACCACACACATGCTGCTTCAAACCCTTTGTTCACATTCGCAGGTTCACACACAGACACACACCGGTGCGGTAAATGGAAACCACACAGGTGCACTTTGTACCGAGTCGCTGTCACAGTGGGTGAAGACATAAAAGCCCATCCGGCCCAGGTCCCCAACCGTCACCTTCACTCTACCATGCGTGCATGTGTGTGTGTGTGTGTGTGTGTGTGTGTGTGTGTGTGTGTGTGAGTCAGAGGGACTGGTGAATATTTCAAGAGTGTACGAAGCACTTTGCCTGAGGAGGAGCAGAGTGGATGTGTTCCGTCGTCGGAACAAAGATTGGTCGCCTGCTTCCCTCTTCCTTCTCCTGCATGGAGACAGCAGAGTCATGGAGAGAGTGCAATGTGAAAACAACACACACACACGTTTTGTTGCTGCCAAAGAGAAGGCGGGCTGAACGTGTCTTTGTTCCTCTGTGTTTCCATGTATGTGATTGTGTGCATCGATTCTGCGTTTGTGTTCGTGTGACTGAGATATGATTAGTTGTCCTCTCAGTTTGTCCTTGCGTCCATCAAGGAGAAAAATGACTTCTCTCGCAGGGGGACGATGAGGAGCTGCGATTAATCAATTAGTCAATCAATGAGTCTGTCACTCAATAAGTCGTCATGTCAGTCGGTCGCTGAACGTTCTGGCCAATGGCTGCTTCTCGATCCCGCCTCTGCCACGGTGGTGTGAGTGCAGTTGCTTCAGAGAACTGCAATTCCCATAATCCTCATCAAATATTCACAGGCTTCGGAATGAAAGAGAGAAGAGGGAGACGGGGGAAAAGAAAAAAAAAATAGTGGGCCTGGGGAGGGAGCGAGGGCTAGAAAGATGAGATTTGAGGAAAGAGATGTGGCAAAATAAAGGGAGGAAATACCAATGAGGGAGCGATGGATGGCAGATGATGAGAAAAGAAAGTGTCAACAGTAGGAGGGAGAAAGAGAGGGAGGGGGAGAGAGTTAAATGAGAGAGTGGAAGACGGAGAGGAGAGAGAATGTGTTTAATTATTCAGCATTACCCATGTTCTCTATTTATGGCCCTTTTAGAGCAGCCACTGGAAGCTATATATACACATACTGTAGGCAGAGGCTGCTCCCCTGAGTACGACTCGCAGGGGAACTTTCAACCCAAAAACCAGGGGAAACTAGAAGAAAAACGTGATTACATATTGATAAGAAGGGAGGGATGAAGGCGCTATGGAGGGAGGATGATTAGACAGAGGAGGAAGAACAAGGAGAGAGTGAGCAGCCACGGAGATGTAAGATGAGAGAGGGAGACGGCAGCAGAAGTCGAAGCTAAAATTAACTTTACGCTGCGGCTACTCGTCTATCACTGTTCTTAGACAAACTATTCTTTGCTGACAAAGAAACTGCAAGAAAAAGAAAAGAAACCCAAACCTGGAAGAACTTTTCAGGCCAGTTTTTAATTGAGGAGGGATGTTAGGTTCACATGTGAAGGAAAAGAAAGGGAGAGATGAAGGAAAGAGAGGAAAGAGCACTGAGGGGCAGATCTGTATCATTTAACTAGATGGGCTTGTGGAATTGTTGATAAACCTGTTATCTCCTTCTCCCAGACTCACAGAGCTGCAGCTGTGTGGTACATTATTGGCCCTGAATCATCAATAACATAAAACACTGTCCTGACCACACACACACGCACACACACACACACGCATGGGAACACACAAACCTTTAGCTCCACTGCACATAGAGCACTCAGGAAAAACTGCAGCAGCAGAATGCACTGGACTGGGATTAGAGTCATGTTTCTGCTGTGGGAGAAATACCCAAGAACCAAAGTATCAGATTCTTTAACATTACTATTTCTTCCTTCGTGATATATATTTGTTAAATTAAATTTCAAATGTTTTAAGCTTTAACTGATGCATTTTTACCTCTGCTAGTGAGCTTCTTAAAGTTTTATTCAAGTTGCCAGGTTGTTGTTTTTTTTTTTTATTTATGTAAAAAGTATTTTCATTTAGGATGATAGGATCAAATAATTGGCCTAGAGTCCTAATTTGCAGTATCAAACCCTTACAAAAAGGAAACTGTAATTGAGGCCTGATATTTCACGGTTTATTTCCCGATAAACTTTCTTTTGAAAAAGTATAAACAAAAAAGAAAAAATGAATTAAACCAAATAAATCAAAAACTTCAAGATTCGAGATTAATTTATATGTCCCAAGGGAAATTTGTCTTAGACATAAACGCTGTCATATAAAAACACATAGATACAATGGGGCACAACTCGAACTCTACGATTAAAGAGCAAAACTGACCCCAGGCCACCAAACACAATGAATTTATTTCTGGAATCAGAACTGAGAAGGAAATCATGTTTACAGCCTCTCAACGTCAAACTGCACCTTCATGTGTTCACTCCACATCACAGTGGCAAGGATCATTGATTCAGTTTGGTACAGTATAAAGCAATATGCACGCTATGTTATTCTTATGTGTCACTTTTACAAGAGTTTGAAAATGTTCAGGAGGAACCAGGCTGAAGGTCAATTTATTATCTCAGTGAGTCGGAGATTCAACCTGCTCACAGGAAGTTGATTCTCTTCAGGTGAACACAAAGGACCTCAGTCGCATGAGGAATTTCAAATAGATGGTGTTTTTGCTCAAGTGACTCTGCTCCTTATCTGTATGTATGAGTCCGATCGTCTCCACTTTACATCTGTATCTGCTTGTTGCACCGAAGGGCAATATTTGAAACTGTGAAACCTTTTCGGCACGGGCTCTGCCATTGTTGTGAATTAAAAAATACATATTGATATCTGGGAAATGATTCTTTTCATCAATTATCAATTAATATACAGAGACTTTTTTCTCGATTAAACCTCAGGTCCGTTGTATAAATAGTGAAAAATAATATAAAAAATAGTGGAAAATGCACAATCACAAGTTTCTGTCGCTCAGATTCCAATTGCATGGTTTGTCTGAATAACAGCGTAAAACCCAACAATATTTGGTTTCCTCCGACATAACAGAAGCGAATCACCGCAGTCGAAAGGTTCAATGGAATGTTTGGAATTATCGTTCAGTCATTTCAGCTCTATTGTTTCATTTTCTAGTTCACGCCTCCTCAGTTTTTAAAGTGTGAAATAGATTTTTTTTAGAGCTTTGTAGGTTTAGCGTTCATTATATTCAGTACAAAAAAGAAACTTAAATAGAAAACACCGAAAGATAAAACAGTGAGAGTGTCATATCTATGAGCCGATTACAGATTAAACTTCAGTACCAACTCTGCTCTCATACACAGTGTGACACAATCAAAAACCAGAGTGGATCAGCTGCACGGGCTCCGGACCCAACAGGCTGGTGCGGTTGCCATTGGCAATCTGCGGCTCAGTAATGTATAGGAGCGGACTGGCTGAATGTCAGCCAGTAAATGAGCCGTGACTTTCACCAAGACAGCGGAGTCAGCAATAAATGGATTCACATAACTCTCCATTCCCTTTGTGTTTTTTCCTGTCTCGTGTCGCTTACACACAATCGTACACACACACACACACACGTGAGGATGTCAAATTATTTCTAGAAGCATGGAGACGCACGCCCGACCTCGTCCTGACCTTTTACCTGGTCCAATCAGCTGTAAGAGCGGTTCGTCTCCATCATCAGCTGACCTTCACTCTTTGCTCCATTAGACACACCATCTCACACACACACACTAAATACATACACTCAGGAAGGCCTTCACGTGTCCATACTGTCACATATTTGAGCAAACGTGTGTTTACTCCATGCAGAGGTAATTACACAAAGTGCCACAGGCTGGTAAATAGAAAAGAATCAGGAAAGGGAAGCGACGACCACAGAATGACAGGCCGTCACTGAGGGGGGAGGAAGTTCAGACTGTGGCATGGATGGAGAGATAGTGTTTAAATGACGGCCGAGTCCAGCTGACAGCAACGACCTCAGACCACAGCGATGTCACAACGTCAGATCAGCACAGGCACTTCCTGCGTCCTGCAGAAACACTTCCCCTAACAGTCTCTTTCTCTTCTCAGCGGGGGAAACAAAGAAACCATCGCAGACGTATAGAAATAAATGTAAATACACAAGAGAAAGAGACAAAAAGGACTAAAAGAAATTCTCCTAAAAGCACTTGAATGTGTCCCAGATTCGACTTCTCCTCTCTGCATTTAAGTCTCTTTTACATTCGCTCCATTTCTCTCAAGCTTTTATCTCCTGTCTTCTCCTCTTCCTTTAGTCACAGTGAACATATTCTTTATTCCACATAGGCTACTTGGAGTGAATACACAAGCCAGCTATCAGAAGTACTGTGTGTTGTGTATATTCTTACCTTGTACACCTGCCCATAGGTGCCATTTCCCACCAGCTCAACCAGCTCAAAGATGCCAGCAGGATCCTGGAGAGACAAAGGTGGAACAGAGCGAAGTTATTAGCATCCTGATGACGAGCATTCACAGAAACATTCAAGTCAAAATCATGTTGAAAAAGGTTAGAATCACATGTATGAGAAGGCACGACAACTTTAGCCAATCTAGCAGCAGGGTCGTCAGGAGGGACCCTGCCTCTGTTTGGGTTACCCTGATATTCTTCCGTAACCGCACCCTGCCTAAACCAGGGCATGGTTGGGGTGTGTGCCCAGAAGCTTCACAGGCTGTTAACGATCTAATCACATAGTCTAAAGTACATGATGTAAGCGTAATTAGGGCTGGTCCAGATCAACTTTTGTCAGTTTGACAGAAGAAAAAAACCTTGCTGCACCTGGTGCAACAAATGAAATGCTTACTATAATAACTAATAATAAATCATAGGTGTGGTTTTGGGTTTAACATGCATTAAATCTACCATCTCACATTTCCTCTAAAAGCAGGTGTGTGCTCGCACCTTGGTGGATTAATCAGATAGCAAAAGAGGACACAGAGAAAAATGGTTTCGGTTCACACAGACGAGCAAATCATTTAAGAAGCGGTGGATGTGCAGCCAATGGTAATGTGTTAAAGCTACAGTCAGCTACCATGCTGCTGAATTCAGACTATGGGTTCGGTTCCTTTACGGCCGATGCATCCCTCTTTAACATTGCATTTAATGCTGGTGGCAACACTCCCCATGAGGCTTGGCAGCACAAACGTAAAGTACGGTTAGTACTATAATACCCGATCCCACTTCAGACCAGGTTCAGGTTCTGTCTCGATGCACAAACACCGCACCTGACCACACCTCATTTTAAGAACAGTGGGTGCTCAGGTGGGTGCAGGAGTATTTGTGACAAACAACATTAGCGCCTGAGCAGAAAATGTCCACTGTGTTGGTGTCAAAGAAACTTGTGTCCCACTCTGCACCGCTTCGCGCCAGGTATTAGACAGAGCCCTCTGTCTTAATATCCGTATTACAACACTTGAACACTTGCAATTTTAACCAAACTAACCGAAGCAGTGCTGGATCTCTAGTTGTTGATACATTGGTCTGAGATGCAGTGCTGGATTGTTTTCTGCTTGTGTCCAGAACAGCTAATAATTTAAGCCCACAGTCGCTGGGTTGTCAACACAGAAACTCAACTCATCTCCGACAAGTAGCAGCTCGAACAGTGAATAAAACCCACTGACCCCTGTGCACACAAAAACAGACACACACACACACACACACATGCACACACACACCTCCCCCTTCCTCTCTGCTGCGTGTTGCTGCAACAATAGCCGGTATTCACCCTCTCTTCCCTTCTCTCTCTCTTTCGCACTCTCTCTGGTCCACCAGCTTCTGTTCTCCAACCATCCCAAGTCTATGTCTCTCTCACTCTTTTATCTGTTTCTCTCCTTCATTCACGTCAGAGTGCCGGACGAGTTCTTTCTAACACCCCTCTCATTCCAACCATCCCCAGAAACACAGAGGTCCTTTCACCAGCTTCTGTTATGTCTCTATTCCCCTGGTGCCATTATAAAGTTTGTAAATGTTTTTTACGCAGCATTTTTCAATTTTAAAACTCAGTTCTTTTCTGACGGAGTTGTCCGAAGCTGGTCTTCAGCCCAGTCCACTTAAAAATGCATCTCCACAACGTCTGTTAATGTGTTTTATCAACAACCTCACACTGTCAATGATCAAGGAGCACACTTGGGTTTTGTTGGCAGATGTGGCTCATGCAGTTTCCACCACACGCTGTAATGTAGGTTACCTTAAACTTGCGGCCACTTCTACTGGGCCAGCTCAAGATAAAGCAATATCCAAAGTCATTTTTCAACCCCCCCCCCCCGTTTATGAAAATGGCTCTGCAGTATCATCGAGGGACGAGCAAAAGAAGATGTTTAAAAATAAGATCTTCAACGAGCAGCAAAGCTACACAAGCTCGTTTCTCTGCTGAATCTCCGAAATAAACCACTGGAGAACAGATGATATTACACGATACACTTCTCACAGACCATTCCCCTCTCAATAAAGCATCACTTTATTTCCGTTCTGAAAAGCCACACATGCGCCCGATTTCCATCGCCGTCTCTCTCCTCTAACCTCATCACTTCGCTCTGCTGCCTCTTCCATTCAGGGCCTGTCCTTTTTTTTTTTATATCAGTGTCTTTGTAGCTTTCGCTTTTTCTCTTTCATGCCACATCTGTGAATTCTTTCAGTTGAACTTTCAGCTGACTTTACTGGCACAACATGCAGATCTGTGTGTGTGCCGTTGCAGAGCAGAGAGAAGGAAATGACACAGGATTGTGGCCAAAATGAAAAAAAGTGCAATCGCATTTGCATTTTCAAGGTTTTTTTAACGTGTATATTTGAATTCTGTCTTTCTTATATATTTTTGTGTTTATTTTCCTTCTTCCCTTCCCTCGGTTTTTGTCTCTCCCCCTCTTCCCCCTCACTTTGTCTCTCTCTGTTTGTTTCTGTGCATCTCAGCAGACCTGTCAACCTGTCAGCTGTTTCTGAAGACAGGGCCTTGTGCTTTTCTTGCACTCTCTTTCCTTTTCCTGTCGTTTTATTTCTCTCCTCTTTCTTTGTTGTGCGCTGCATACACAGACACAGACACACACACACACGCACAAATTTATCTCAAATACAAAGCAAAACAAACTCTATCTCTCAAACTCTGTCTCAAGTACATCCTCCCGCTGTCTCGCTCTCTCACACTCTCATAACCAGACACACACACACACACATGCTATGCCAAAGACACACTCCTACACAAGGGCTAGTGTTCAAATGTTCTAACAAGTATGAGTGGGCACAAAATGAAGAGTGTGTCGTATCAAATGCGTGTGTACGTGCTAAAAGAGCCAGTCAGAAAAACTGCGATCACTTTCAGGAGTGCAGACAGCAGCATTCTGCAAGCGGCGCAAGTGTTCACCTTGATATCAGACCTTCAGCTTATGCAGGTAGAGTTTTCCTCCCCACACTTCCTCTGTGTGCATGTGTGTGTGTTTGGCAGCTGTGTGAATTAACTCTCAGAGCTGCATACAAAGTCCTGACAGCAACTCCCCAGACACGTCATAGGATGCGCTCTCTTCATCTTTTGGCTTTTACTCAACAGACCAAATTTTTTTTAAAGTCATGCACATATACACACACTCATACAAACGCATTCTGTAAATGCAAGTGGAAATATAGGAACCACAAGCACCGAGAGACACATGACGCAGGCCTGCGTGTGCAGCTTTCCTTCCCTCCACGCACAGATTACAGAATGAGTGCAGTTTTTGCTGCTCCAGTTCATACATGTCCTCAGGCTCGCTGATAAAAATATAGCACGATATCATTCATATTTCATCGGCCACTTGCAGAATGAGCTCTCATCGTGAGCCAGGCTTCGTCAGTATCAGCGTCTGCATGCGTCCACATCCTAACCCTGTGGTTAAGAATTCCCTAAGACTGGAGACCCTTCCTCTTTTTTATGTTGTGGTCCTGCTGAGCGTCACATGACTGCCACATGACCTCGCTGGTGGCCAATGAATCACAGTGCTGCTGAATAACAGTAACGTGATAAATATAGCCGCAGAAAAACAACATTAAAATTGCTGAGAGAGGAAGGAATCGAGACGTGACGAACACACAGACAAACATCACTATGACGCTGCACATTTAGTTTCTTTATCCACCAGCATTCAAAATCTTACAAACATCTGAACATTTTCCAAACCCGCAAAGTGACATGACTCTCTTCAAATTCTATCGGAACAGCTTTAAAGAAAAGTTTGATTTGCAGGGCTTCTTACACGACAACAGCCACGATGTGTATCGTAATTGCCTTTTGAAAAATACGACTCGCTTTGCTTAACCTCACTCACCACTTATCTCAAAGTGTGAGGAACAACAATATTATCTTGCCAGCGTTCGCTGCCAAATTCAAAGCATCATTCGAGCAAAACTGGAATGAAGAAGAATCAGAAACGGAGATGGATGCAGCGCTGGATCCATTATTTTCAAACAATGGATCATATCGGTCCATGTGCAGCGTAAGCCATTAGAAATAATGGGTTTTAGAGTGCAGGGCATGGAGTTCTTGTGAAGGCCTCTTTACATGTGTGATGACTTGCACTGATTGCCTTTGTTCTTTGACTCCACAACCTCACCTGAATCCTCACCACTGAACGTTAACTCTTAACCAACCACAAGCTAATGCTAGTTCTAACAAGGACAAACTACTTTCAAAACTATGTTTCAGGTGATCCAATCACTGCTAAAAATACAAGTCTCAACACATTTTGTCTCATCATCAGCTATTTCATTTGGCAACAATACACCTGGCATTCTATTGGTTGGTGAGTTTTGACAGACTTGTTGCACAAAACAATTGCCAGTGTTTCACGTGCACAGAAACAACGTGAGGAGAAGAGCTAGAGCTGGAGCGCTGGAAATCTGTCCGAGCAACAAAATATGTGAGAGCAAGTGCATTGGTTTGAGCACAAGCAGAGCAAGTCTAAGTACTAGCAGGTGCTACTGAATGTGAGCGCAGGGTTTTGAGTGAAAGCGTTTTTTTAGACAGTGTGGATCCTTTTACCTGGTGCTACATTAATTATGTTAACGCAGTGAAATACCCAGTTATGTGATAGTCACAGGGAGATAAGGTCTCCCTTCACCCTGATCGTTTCTTTAGTTGATGTTGGCCTAGTGTGAATGTTAAGTGCATGTTTCAGTGCAGCAGCCAGCAGCCAGGTGAGTGCTGCTGTTAGTGTCTGTAGAAAGTGAATTACAGAGAAGTGAGGGGGATTGAATTAGAGACCCTAAGAGGATGATGGGAGTCAAGCTGGGGCCGGGTCTGCTTCTTCTAAAACCACTTACACTTAACAACATGGCTCTCCACTGCCTGCTTTTTACAAGGAGACGCCGTGGTAGCCTAATTCCCAGTACATCTCACCCAGACACGTACAGTACACTAACAGGAGTCAACTCTTAATCACAGATTTGCAGCCTGCAGGAGATGATCCGCGCCCCACAGAGTTTGTTCTAGCGACGCTGATGAACCCGTCCGCTCCTCGCCTTCGCTCCGTCTCTGCCAAGCTTGTCATCTCACACCTTTTCCTGTCACCTCTTGGCTCCGTCCCTTCGTCCCCATCATCATTCATCTTTTCTCCGCAAATGTTGGTCTTGTCGCTCTCTCCCTCTGTCGCTCTATGCATCTTTACTGCCTTGCTGCCCTGCACCGTGTGAGTCCGACACAACAGAGGGAATCAGCTCCTACTAGGGACTTGTTTACGTGCACATGATTCCTCCGAGCGCTTCAGATGGAGTGCAAGTGTATTCTTTGTGTGTTAGAGCATAAGAGGAAAATAAAAGTGAATTCGAGCGAGCATGCGTGTGCATATTATGCTTAATGTATCAATAAATCCCTCGTTGAAATACTATGTTATGTTTTAAAGTTATATTCCAGAGGATCACAGTGTTTGTTTATATTTTTATGTTCCAACATTTTTTTGCAGAAGCCCGCGTTGTTTACGCTCTGCACTTTGAAACATTCATTGGGAGATCAAACGAGCGTGGCTAACACTGCAATGACTTTTTCCTTGAATTTGATTTACAATATTTTAGCTGCACAGAAACACTAAAAATAACTGGTGATATTGCTGGGAATATAAAGTACTTCATTTCCCATGCATGGGAACATTTCCCAAGGAAAGCCTGCCTTCATGCTACATGTTTTTACTTAAATCAACTATAGCAAGAAGGAAAATATATACATTTCTATTACAGTGTCAGTGATTACTGATGGAATTTGGCAGCTTTAAATGATCAACTTCATATTTCAGAGCCAACATGGGGGTTTTTTGTGTGTGTGTGGCAGAGAGTTAAAGACTTGATGTGGCTCCATCAGTGACTTGGGGGGGAAATAGGTCAACTAGAAGCAGGCAGGCAGAGTGGAGAGGAGGGTGGGAGGGAAGGAGAGGGGCATTTCTCAGCGACAGACTGCCATACAGTATATAGACTATTCATGAATAAGCTCTGTGTAAGCCTTGGGCACTGCTGTGGCCCCGTTACTATGGCGTCCATGGTGGAGGGCCGAGGAATGTGGCCTTACTGGGCAACAAGGAATGGAGAAGGAGGGAGGGAGGGGGTTCTGGAGAGGGGCCTAAGCCTCGGACTACTTTGGTCACTGGTCACATCTCCACCTTTAGCAGAGGCTCTATCGCTTTCTTCTTCTCTCCCATGCTCTCTCTGTCTCTCACCATCTCCCCCGAGAGCTTCACACGTCCTGTTCCTCCCTTCAAATCCATCTATCCTTCCCTCTCTCACCGCTTCTTTGTCTCCGTCTCCCTCTGACCGTGTCGCCATCCCTTCATCCTCACCTGCTCCTGCTTTCATCACAGATCTCACACCTGAGTCCCCTCACAGCACATTAGTCTGCTTCCAGTGTGTGTGTGTGTGTGTATGTGTATGTGTATGTGGTGCTGTGGCTGTACTTCCTGCTGGTTTACCATCTGTTGCTTTCGTCAGCTGACTGGATAAACCCGTGCCTCTGACGCCTCTGACCTGCGTGTGTGCACACGTGCGCCTATCGTTATTCACATCAAAACCACCGTCTGTACGAAGACCACAGCGATTCAACCTCTCAGGGTCTTTTTGGCTGCCATCGCGAGTCACGGCAAGACAGGAAACAGCGGTGACACGTCTGCGAGCGCCTCTAACTTTGGCCTTTCCCACTCGAGTGAAACACGCCGCGTCTGCACAGGTGCTGCCGGGGTTGATGCGTGACACCGCCAAATGTCAACGAGACCAGGGAAGGCATAAGGAGGAAGATGGAGGGAAGAAGGGAAAAGTGCAGAGACAGCAAACATGAAAAACCACTTCTCTCTCCCCATTCGACTTCCCACTCAGTTCTGTCTGTTTCTTTGTGTCTGCTCTTTCTTTCTTTCTTTGTGTGTGTGTGTGTGTGTGTGTGTACATGTGCATGTGAGAGATGGTCAGTGTTCCTAAATGCAGCAGAGTGCAAGAGCTAGCTCTGCCCAGTGATCACCCCCCCACACACAAACAAACAACACAATCCCCCATCATCACTACCAATGCCAGTATTATAATCAGCCACCCCCTCCCCATCTCACCAGCCAGCTGACCTACTTCCTGTCTAGCCACTCCAGTAGTTGACTGCACACTGTCATATGAGCGTGTGTGTCACGATGAGTAAAAATGAACAATGCAAAGATAATAAAATATGAAGGAGGGGAGCAGAAAGGAGACAGGCCTGTTCAGACACTGTTGTGGCGCCATCATCAACTTAAAGCATTTCCAAAGAAGTAAGGATACATGTTTGGGCAGGAGAGAAAGAAACGAATCAAACGCAATATTCGAACCGTGCACGTTTTAATTATAACATCAAACTCTAAAAGTCACTGGGCTCTCCTCTAAATTTCAAACAAGGCTCAACTGCACAACAAGAGTTGGAAATGAGTCACCCATCATCTGCAGGACAGGGGGGGTTGTGAGGGGGAAAAATGCTCATGTTTTTTTCTTCTAGAGAAAAATAACATGGTTCTAAAAAACGTCATGTTTCAAAAGTACTGACAACCGTAAAGACGAAGCAGCATCTCATACAAATTCACACTATTTCAGAAATATGTCATGTTGAAGTAAAAAAAACAAACAATTGGACCGTACATGCGTGTGTCCTCGTAGCTGAGACAGGCACTTCACATGCCTCTGAAATAATGGACACAGACCCTTCCCTCCTCTTCCTCATCTACTGTCTCTGAATCATCCTCCATCTCCTCCTCATCCTATTCTTTCATGTACTCCTTTCTGTTCTCTCCCCCACCAGCGAGAACACAGAGTAGGTGCAAACCTCAAAAGTGGCGTTTGTTGTCGACACTCGGTTCAACTCCCAGGTGAACGCTACCCTTCGGGCAGGGAGAGATAATTCTTAAAGACGGAGCAGCTGGCAGATAGACGAGGAAGTGGATTGAGTCAGTCAGACAAGAGGCTGGAAGAACAGGTGATCAAACTGATGGAAGACAGCAGGAGTGACATGTATACCTGCATGTCGTCCCTGCTTCAGATGAGTAGCTGTAAATGAAGCAGTAACAGCAACACGCAAACAGGCACACTGAGACAGAAAGAGACAGACGAGAGCGGTGGCTGTAAAAGCAGACAAGCAGAGACAATCCAGCCCGACAAGGACACAGGTAAATAGGGGTGGGCAGACAACAACTGCATTGTGTGTGTCTGTGCGATGTGGTCTGGTGTCTCTGAGCGGCAAACAGGTCTGCAGCTGAAGCTGTTCTCTCTCATGTGCAGCATCCCTTACTTGTGTATCAGCCTGGCAGACACCTACACGGTAGGGACACATACACACACACACACACACAAAGAATGCCACACAGCATGCCAAGCCAAGCGGAAAACATGGGTGTTCAGGCATAAACGTGTGTGTGTGACAGAAAAAGAGTGTACGTATGTGTGTGTGTGTTAGCAGCACATATTGAATGAACAAAAGAACTGGATTTTGCAGCATCCAAGCTTCTGCTTTGGTGGAGAGTGGTCTACAGTGACTACAGGTCGGTTGGCACTCCCTCACACACACACACACACACACACACATATATATAGGTTAAAGCAGCAAACAACACAGGAGAGATGTCTTTAAATAAAAACTTGTGAAATGTGAAAACAAGTAACACCTTCTCACACATCAGCCTTTGAGAATCTGTGTGTGTTTGTGTGTGAGAGTGTTTGTGTGTGTGTGTTGACAGCACACATTCAATGAACAAAAGAACTGGCTATTGCAGCATGTAAGGTTTCTGCTTTGGTGGAGAGTAGTCTACAGTGCCTGCGCCTGCACACACACACACACACACACACACATAGGGTAAAGCAGCAAACAGCACATGACAAATGTGAGCAAATAACAACTTGAAATTTGAAATCAAGAGACAGTTTCTCACACGAGTGTGTGCATGAGGGTTAAATTCCTGTGCTGTCTGAATCAAGGCCTGGTTCAGTGAAAGAAGAAACATAAACCCCCCCTATCCAGGTCAGCAGAATCACACACACACACACACACACACACACACACACACACACACACACACACACACACACACACCAACCTTCCTGCCACTGACTTGAATGAGGCTCCAGACCAGCAGTGCATGTCTATAAATACATGCATGTATATAATGGGATCTATAATTTGACACAGTGTGGATGGATGCTCGTCTCCCACACATCCGCCTCTTGCACGCGTGCGCTCCTGCCGGGTGCTGCTGTTCAGGGGAGCGCGCAGTCAGGTGCAAGAAAAGAAGAGGGGAGGAAGGAGAGACGCAACCACACACACACACACACACACACACACACACACACACACACACACACCAGTTTGTTTTAAATAAAATGCACAACATGTTCAGAGTCGCATCTTCTCACCCTCAAAGCGGAAAGGTCGATCTCGTCCAGGCTCCGCGCCGGAGAGTCGCTCGCCATGATGGAGGAGGAGGAGGAGGAGGACGCGAGGAGCCGCTCTCCGGTTGCCCCGATATCCTGAGACGGCCTCTGCTGTCACGACGGTGTGGGTCCTCTACTGTCCCCCACCTCCCTCTCTCTCCCTCTCTCTCTCTCCTGCACAGCGATGCCTCAGCAGGACACAGAAGAAAATCACCGTCCTCCTCCTCCGCCTCCTCTCTGGTTTGCAGCGCCACGGGCCGGGAGCGCACGGCTAGAAGGGAAGAGAGCGCGCCGGGTACATCAGCCCCTCCAGCTCCATGTCTGCGGGATCAGTAGCTACAGAGAAAAGGTGCAGGGCAGTGGAGAGCAGACTGATGGTGATGGTGGAGGAGGAGGAGGAGGTGGTGGTTATTACAGCCGCTGCTGTGACAGCCGGTTAATACTCAGAAGGAGGGAGGAGGGAGGAGAGCAGCAAACCACGCCTGTCACTGGGCGGAGTTTACTGAGGCACCATGGGACTCCAAAAACTTTTTCACCTCAGACCTGTGACGACCCCTCAGGTTAAAAAGTCCAGAAGAACATCAGGGTCATAAGAGGAAATAACTTCTTCTTCTTTTTTCTCCCTTTTTCCATTTCGAGAATAAAATCTAAAAGTTCAAGAAAAAAGTCGAAATGTCAAAAAAAATAATTTTTTGCATTTGAACTTTCTTAATTTTCCATTAAAATATCTGAAGAATAAAGAATAAGTCAAAGCTTAAATAGGTTAAAAAATGTCCAGAATAAACCAAACATTTTGTATATACCATAATAAGCAGCAAGGAGAACGATGTGCTCTCTGGAGTTCTGCTGCTTCAAGATCCAACATGTTTACCACTGTCTCCTGAGAAAATAAAAAAACCCTTTGAATAATGTACGGATGTAAGGAATGATATCCTCAAGCGATATGCGTCCTTCAACTTTTATGAATCCTAACAACTATAATTTGGTGCTGTAAGGCTTCAGGTTTGGCGGAGAGTAGTCAACAGTGCCTGCACACACACACACACACACACACATAGGGTAAAGCAGCAAACAGCGACAGAGGCCTTCTTCAGGGCAAATTCAAATGGTTTCCCAAGGGTCGATTCCTCAACTCCACTAAATGTGTGGCCAGGTGAATAGTCACGTGATAAAATGGTCACATGATCAGGTTGGAAAGGTGAATGATCACAGGATTTAAGTCAGTTCACCTCTGACAACCAAATAATCTCATGTTTCACGAGGCTCTCCATTAATTTAGTTCTGCTCTTATATAAAGTTTTCGGACTCACAATAGACGGATTGTTTTTAAATTAATGGTGAACATTGACGCAGCTGAAGCTGGGATATCCTGAGTGAGCACAGGACCTGGCAGTATTATAAACTTACAGCAAGTAGAGCTCTGCGGAATAGGAGTCATATCATTAAAAATAAATTCCTGCTTTGTATTAAAAATAGATACAACAACATCCACCAAGGCCGAAACTCATAGTACACAATCATAGTTATCAGTCCCCTAAACAAGCCTGTTGTTTTTAATCAATGTCCATCAAATATTCTCTGAGAAATCAATCAAAATGTTGAAAAAACAATTCACACTTTCTAGTTTGAAGGGTGAGGATGTTTCTTTTTTCTGACCTCACTTCTTTCCAACTCAAACCTCTAAGATTTTTGGCACCATCCAGGTAGGTGGTCATCTTCCAACCAGAAGTTCGGCGGTTCAATCCCCAGTCTTCCCCATCTGCATGCCAAAGTGTCCCTGGGCAATACTGGACCCTGAATTGCCCCTCATAGAACAAGAAAGTGCTGTTAATAGATGCACTGTATGAATGTGTGTGTGAATGGGTAGGTCATCAAGACTAGAAAAGCACCATATAAATACAAACCATTTACCATCCAGAGCCACTTATGACATATAACTAGTTTTACACCAGAGGGCCAGAAGACAGCTCAGTACCTTTCACCTCAATAATCACCACCTCTTATAACTTTTAATATCACATCTTAAACTGCGTGGCTCTGGAATGTGGGCCGTTTTGACTTGTGGTTCACAAAGCCTCTTCCAGGAAAACATTTTACGTAAGAATTGGAACAGGATCTGGGAGAACAGCTCCAAGCTTCTCTGGAATCAACCTGTTGGTGTTTGACAGTGATTTACAACAATAACTCACTGTTGTCTTTCCGTTTGTGAAACTGCACGCTATTCGCTTGCAACAGTATTTTTGGGATTTCCATTCTGTACAAAGTTTGCTCTTGTGGTTAAACCCAGTGTTAATGTTTTTATATCATCACAGCTTTTGTATTTGATACTATTGCATTGATTATATTGAAGGTTTCTTTTCCTACAAACAAAATTGAGCCAAATACTGACAGAGCTTCAGATTTAAGACGAACAAAAAATAGAAATACCAAACAGGTTGTATGCCTCCACAGACCAGCGCAGTTTCCAAATTACTGCACAATTTGTTTTTGTCTTTTCACCAATTAAATCTAATCAGTTAATCTTCAACAACTGATCAGAAGTTGATAAAACTCCCTCAAGGCGATCTTCTTGGTGTAAACGACGCCACATTATCACCTTCAAGTTTAATTCTGTCACATTGAAGCGACCAAAAACTTGTCAGTTAATGAATAAAGTGAACATGTGTGCCAAATTTGAAAGAAGCATGAAAGCATTTAAATCCATAAACAAGGCCTCAAAATTCTAGAAAACATTATATAGATAATACACTTTAAGATTAAATTGCTTTCCAAAAGTTGATGGTTGAATCCTGATGGCTAATGGTTTCTCTCTTATGAATAGTAAGAGAATTTAAAAATACTATTAATCATTCCGGTTATCATTGATGAAGATCTGTCATTTAACCAACAAATTAGTCAAACTTCCATCTTTTTTTCATCTGCGTAATATCAAGAGAATCAGACACATCCTGACAAAACAAGATTCTGAAAAACTGATTCATGTTTTTATCACGTCTAGGCCCGACTACTGCAACTCCCATCAGGATGTCCCAGCAGATTCTTAAGAACCCTTCAGCTAGTGCAGAACGCTGCTGCATGAGTACTGACAGGAACCAGAAGACGGGATCACATTACTCCTGTCCGAGCTACAATCAGGCCCCATCCTACACTAAAGACCTCATAACCCCTTACTGCCCCCACAGACCACTTCGCTCCCTAAACTCTGGTCTCCTTGTAGTGCCTTGAGTTACTAAGAGTAGAATGGGTGGTAGAACTTTAAGTCACCAAGCTCCTCTCCTGTGGAACCAGCTCCCACTCTCAGTGAGGGAGGCAGACACGGGCTCTACATTTAAGGCTAGACTTAAAACCTTCTTGTTTGATAAAGCTTTTGGCTCAACCCTGAGCCATAGTCATCCATAGTTATGCTGCTATAGGCCTAGACTGCTGGGGGATCACCCATCAGGCACCAGAAACCAGCACCTTCTCCCTTCTTCACTCTCTGCCTTGTTTATTTGTTGTATCTTATTACATGTCTCTAATTTCTTGGGTCTTCTCCTCCTCTCTTTGGTCCATACTGTGCGGCTCACCGGAGCCCGTCCTGGCTCGGTTCCTGATGAGGGATGGACCTAGTGGAGGTCGCCGGTCTGTCGCAGGGCTGACATGGAGGGTCACGCAACCACCAGCACTCTCACCTGAGGACCCCTCACCTTTGGAGCCATGGGTCCTATTACTGCGCATGTTGGACCATGAGGGAGGCAGGAGTGCCCGGGGGGACCAACGCGCCCTTGGAAGACCATGCCAACGTCCACGTGGAGATTCCCGGGCTGGATTCAAGCCCATGAGCTGAGACTGTGACTCCACCCCCCCTTGTATTTCCTTTTCTCCCGTATTTTTTTTTTTCTTTTTCCACTCACCCCAACCAGTCCTGGCGGATGCCATCCACATCGAGCTCGGTTCTTCCGGTGGTTTCTTCCACCTGGGAGTTTTTCCTCCCCCGCTGTTACTCATGCGTTTACTCTTTTGTGTATTTTACAGACATATAAAAACAAAAAGTACAATAACGAAATAACATGGAAAATCATCAAGGGTGTAGGCCGGATTAAAAACAACCTGCTTCCTTGTGTACGCCACATTAATTACTTCAGGTTAAATCCTCTTGAGTATTTTCTGATTCATTCTTTCACAGGTAAAAAAAAAAAAATAGATTAAGAAAACTTTTGTTGCACAACATTTTCTCGAGAACTGTTGTAAAGTGAAATCTTTGTTCGGTTTGTCTTTTTTTCAATTGAAAAAGAAA